AAATAGCAAAATAGTTTTCATCTAATAATAATCTGAAACCTAATCTATTCATGTTGATGATTTAATTTATACTCTTAAACAAGATCTTGATTTTGAACCAACAATGAGAAATCATATTTAGTATCTAATAAAAAACATTTGATACTTTTTTTGTTAAACTCATCCTTTTTCAGTAACAAAATTTGTTCAACTCTGAATTTGATTTATCTCTATCGAATATATTTTATAAGTTTTGATCGGTATGAAAAATTCAGTACTAAATGAAAAGAAAGATTTAATAACAAAATTTTTCTTTCATTAATCAACATTATCTTTGTTAAATGATATGCAATGTTTGATGTTTACATTCAGTTTAATCAGCATTGGCGTTTGATTCTAATGAACTAATATCATTTTCTGTTCGTTCTAAGACTTTATCTGATGATCGATATGTTCAAATCCATAAAATAGTTCTTCGTTGAAGAAATATGAATATGCTAATTTATATTTATTGAACATTCATTCCTGATTAACAATATCTAAGTAGAATAATCGTCTACATAGGATAACTTTACAGTGTATCTAATTTATTCATATGAAATGAAATAACAAAATATAGTATAATAAGACAATAATTATGGAATCGAAATATGCAAATCATCATCACCAAGCATTACATTAACTTTGTATTCATCATTTCTATTTAAACCAAATGATTGACGCCGTTTTTCTATGACATAGTTTCGTGAAATAGGAACATCTGGTAAATCATTACCAACAAATTCTACAATCATGAAACGTAGTTTTCCAAAACCAGCAAGAAAAGTATCGATAACTGGTATGCAATAATCAAGCCAATAAACTCGAATTTCGATCTTTGTTAAACATGGAAAACATTGCACAATTTTTGTTCCAGGCTTCGACTTAAAGTACAAGTAGTCATCGAATAATCTAAGATACTCTATTTGACTAAAAGTAAGGATAAGATGTGGATTGTCGATAACTATAGGTAAAACAAGCAACGAAGTACGCATTATAAGTTTTTTGATATTTACACATGCTCTAAAACAAATAAAGAAAACAATATTATTTTCGATTGATTATTCAACGTAAGATATAATTATGATTGAATAAAATTAGTTTTCTCTTGATTAACATGATCAATTAATATGAATTCATATAAAAACATGTAAAACATTCAATCGACTCTGTGTACATTTTTCTTTAGAAACTGCTCTCTTACATCAATAGGAAACCTGATGGAATCAGTACCTCTTATCATGAGACATTTCAACAAACATAAATTTTTCAAATAGTGAATGTACATAACATTACTTTCAATAGCTGTAAAAACTTTCATTCACATGCATTCAATGTAAATTTTGATAAAAATTTAATATATTTCAGCTGAAATCAGCTGAGTTTCGGTCTTGAGAACAACTTTAGTATAACTTTGGATTTATTCATCTATTAACAATATTTCTACTTAAGACTGATCAAAAGTTCTAATCACAGTGACTAAACCTTCTTCTCGTAGACTAGACTGAGAATATTTATTAAATGCTCTACAAGATTCAGTATAAACGAAGTTTCTGAAACGCCAGTACAGGGTATCTAGAAAGTAGTCCCCTATTTTAAATTCTTTTTTTTCTCTTTAATAAGAATAGATATTCTATTACTTTTTTTTTACTATTTTGAAGCATGCTTTATAAAGTTTTGTTTTACATAAGAAAGAATGTTAATGAATTGACTATGTAAGATCAAACGCAAATTTCATCTGAAA